AGGATAAACCTGCCTGTGACGCTAGCATCCCATATGGGCACTGCTTTGTGTCCTAACTGCTCCACTTCTGATCGATCCATCTCCCTGCTAATGGCCTGGGAAAGGCCATGGAGGATGGCCCAAGTGTTTGGGCCCCTGCCACTTATGTGGGAGACCCGGAAGAAGCTCCTGGCTCTTGGCTTCAGTCTGGCCCAGCCCTGGCTGTTGCAGCCATTCGAGGAGTGAACCAGTGGAATGATGATCTCTATCTCTCCCTCTTTCTCTGTAACCCTGGCTTTCAAATCAATTAATCTTAAAAAAATTTAAAAAGGACATGGCTTGGGATGCCTGCAGCCCATACTGGAATGCCTGGTTTGAGTCCTGGCTCCCTGTGCACCCTGGGAGGCAGCAGAGATGGCTCCAGCACTTGGGTCCTTGCCATCCACACAGGAAACCCAGACTGAGTTCCTATCTCCTCTCGTCAGCGTGGCCCAGTTTTGGCTGTTGTGGGCATTTGGGGAGTAAACTAGTGGATGGGGGATCTGTTTCTGCCTTTCAAATAAATATAATAAAGAAAAATATTTTAAAATCACAAATAAAATATCACTAAGTTAAAACTAGTAGTGCTAAAGTTAATAAAATATGCTCAATTTCACTGGTAATTAGGATAATTAAGAGTACAATGATAGGCCGGCGCCGCGGCTCACTAGGCTAATCCTCCGCCTAGCGGCGCCGGCACACCGGGTTCTAGTCCCGGTTGGGGCACCGGATCCTGTCCCGGTTGCTCCTCTTCCAGGCCAGCTCTCTGCTGTGGCCAGGGAGTGCAGTGGAGGATGGCCCAGGTGCTTGGGCCCTGCACCCCATGGGAGACCAGGAAAAGCACCTGACTCCTGGCTCCTGCCATCGGATCAGCGCGGTGTGCCGGCCGCAGCGTGCCGGCCGCGGCGGCCATTGGAGGGTGAACCAACGGCAAAAGGAAGACCTTTCTCTCTCTCTCTCTTTCTCACTGTCCACTCTGCCTGCCAAAAAAAAAAAAAAAAAAAAAAAAAAGTACAATGAGATGTTGTTTTATGCAAACTAGAATGGCAGAAATTAAGAAGTACGATAATACCAGGGGATAAAGAAGATGTGGTCAACCAATCACACACAGATGGTGGAAGCATAAACAGTACCAATACTCAGAAAAATAAACTATTATGAGTTAAAAAAACAGTCACAGTGGGATAGCATAGAATAGGGTACATAAGTAGGCACCATGCTGCTAAAATGTTTTGGCTCTAAGGATGAGCTAAGGATAAGTAACTGGCTCAGGAGTACTAATTTTTTTTTTTTTTTTTTTTTTGGACAGGCAGAGTGGACAGTGAGAGAGAGAGACAGAGAGAAAGGTCTTCCTTTGCCGTTGGTTCACCCTCCAATGGCTGCCGCGGCCGGCGCACCGCGCTGATCCGATGGCAGGAGCCAGGAGCCAGGTGCTTTTCCTGGTCTCCCATGGGGTGCAGGGCCCAAGCACCTGGGCCATCCTCCACTGCACTCCCTGGCCACAGCAGAGAGCTGGCCTGGAAGAGGAGCAACCGGGACAGGATCCGGTGCCCCAACCGGGACTAGAACCCGGTGTGCCGGCGCCGCTAGGCGGAGGATTAGCCTAGTGAGCCGCGGCGCCGGCCGAGGAGTACTAATTTTTTTTAAAGATTTATTTATTTGAAATACAGAGTCACAGAGAGAGAGAGAGAGAGAGAGAGAGAGAGAGAAGTCTTCCATCCGCTGGTTCACTCCCCAGATGGCCACAACGGCCGGAGCTGCACTGATTTGAAGCCAGGAGCCTCTTCCGGGTCTCCCACGCAGGTGCAGGGGCCTAAGGACTTGGGCCATCCTCCGCTGCTCTCCCAGGCCATAGCAGAGAGCTGGATGGGAAGAGGAGCAGCTGAGACTAGAACTGGTGCCCATATGGGATGCCTGTGCTTCAGGCCAGGGCTTTAACCCGCTGCGCCACAGCACCAGCCCCATGAGTACTCATTTTTTTATAAAAAACTATGCTATTGGCCGGCGCCGTGGTTCACTTGGCTAATCCTTCGGCTGCGGCGCTGGCATCCCATATGGGCGCTGGGTTCTGGTCCTGGTTGCTCCTCTTCCAGTCCAGCTCTCTGCTGTGGCCCGGGAAGGCAGTGGAGGATGGCCCAAGTGCTTGGGCCCTACACCCTCATGTGAAGACCTGGCTCTTGGCTTTGGATCAGTGCAGCGCGCCAGCTTTAGCATGCCAGCCGTGGCAGCCATTTGAGGGGTGAACCAATGGAAAAAGGAAGACTTTGTCTCTCTCTCTCTCACTGTCTAACTCTGCCTGTCAAAAAACAAACAAACAAAACAACTAAAACCCTATGCTGTTATGGCTGGTATTGTGGTGCAGCATATTAAACTGCTGCAAGCAATGCTAGCATCTCATATGAGTGTAGGTTCAAGTCCTGGCTACTCCACTTCCAACCCATCTTCTTGCTAATGTGCCTGGGAAGGCAACAGAAAATGGTTCAAGTGCTTGGGATCCCTGCTACCCACTTGGGAGACCTGGATGGAGTTCTGGGCTCCTGGCTTCAGCCTGGACTAGCCCAGGCAGTTGTGGGGATTTAGGGAGCGAACCAGCAGATGGAAGAACTTTAGCTTTCTCTGTGTCATTCTGCATTGCAGATAAATAAATAAATAAATTTTAAAACAAATGCCATATAATTTATCTGTCTGCTACATTTATGTTTGTGAATTAACTGAATATTAAAAGATAACTAGGAAACAGACTTAAAGGAATACACAATTATTCACTTGCAGAGTCCCATGGGAAGAAAGCTATAAAAAGTATGTTTCCTCATAGCCAATAATGTTTTCTTAAAATCCTCCCACCTCAAAAACACATTGGCCCACCACTGTGGATGCAAGTGCTTAGAGGAGTGTGATGAAATGAACAGACGAGTTAGAGGGGAATATGTGGCTATGTGCAGAGGGCCCAATGTGAGGATCAGATGAGAGAATGTCTACAGAACAATTTATAAAGAATAAAATACTTTTCAAATGGTACTCAGTTTGTGAGAGCTGACGGTCAGGGTGCAGTGAGGTTAGTGGCTTCCACGGGGAGATCTGGACCGAGTGGGAGCTGACGGTCAGGGTGCAGTGAGGTTAGTGGCTTCCACGGGGAGATCTGGACCGAGCGGGAGCTGGCGGTCAGGGTGCAGTGAGGTTAGTGGCTTCCACTGGGAGATCTGGACTGAGCGGGAGCTGACGGTCAGGGTGCAGTGAGGTTAGTGGCTTCCACTGGGAGATCTGGACTGAGCGGGAGCAGTGCTGAAGCACATTTCGTGTACCTTGATGAGCTGATTGTTCTTCACATAGTGCAAAGTATTGGACCGGTTACCACCAGCAACCACGGGTGGGTAGGCTAAGATGTCAGCGCCCCGAGCCCGGCATTCAAATTCAAACTGTGGAAACAACAAGGAGGGATGACTCAAAGGATTTCTGTAGGGCCACTCCAGCCCAGTCTCTCTTCAACAGCTGTACCTCCAACCTGGCACTCATCCCAAGGCACGACTGGAACACTAGTCATCATATCTACGCCAACTTCTTATGCTGTAACTGCAGACCATTTCTTTTATTCCCACCCCACACACTATAATCTATGCTATATATAGTCTTACTCCCGTCAATCCTGTTCTTCAATCTCATTATCGTTATTATTGTTTATGTTTATTTATGTATTTTCATCTATCTGAAAGGCTGAGTGATTTGGGATGTGGGGAGAGGGAGAAAGGAAGAGCGAGAGACAAGGAGGGACAGAAAGAGAGGGAGAGGAAGCAGCAGAAGGAGAATTGGGCGGGGGGGGGGGGGGAGGAGGGAGAGAGAGAGACAGAGCCTGATCTTCTATCCCTTGGTTCACTGCCCAAATGCTTGTTAATAGCCAGGGTTAGGCGAGGCTGGAGCTAGAGGCTTGGAACTCCCATTCTGTTCACCCTGTGGGTGAGAGGGGTCATCTTCTACTGCCTCCCAGGATATGTTAGCAGGAAGCTGGATTGGAAGCAGAGGTTCTGGGAGTTGAATTAGCACTCAGATATGGGATGCGGGTTTCCCAGGGGGAAGCTTAATGACTGTGCCAAACATTATTACTTTTAAATTTATATGTTTTATTTATTCAAAAGGCAGAGAGAGCGAGAGCGAGATAGATCAATTTTCTGTTCTTTGGTTCACTCCTCAATGGCCTCTAACACTTAGGGCTGGGGCAGGCTGAAGCTGGGAGCCTGGAACTTCCATTCAGGTTCTCCCACATGGTGCAGGGACCCAAGTACTTGAGCCATCCCTTACTGCCTCCCAGGTGGAAAGTAGTAGAAAGCTGGATAGAAAGCAAGATGAGATGTGGGCATCCCAAGAGACATTTTAAGCACTGTGCCAGACTGCCACCCCTCAACTCCATGAACAAATCTGTTCCTACCGAGTGCTCCCTGTATTTCCAATGCTTTTCAAATCAGGTCCACAAGAGGACAGAAAATCCATGAAGGCTGAGTTCAGAGATACAATAATGTATGGTTATTGTTTGTTTATTCTTATTTAAACACTGAAATACAGCTGACATTTTTAACAATAGTTCTGAATCACGAATCTCGAAGTTCAAAATGCTAGCGATCTAAATGCCGTGGGAAAGTGAAAAAGGACGCGAGGCAAACTGAGTCCTCCCAGCTTCGCTGCTCCAGAGGGAGGCGGAAGTTGCCGCGCACCTGCCACGATGTGCGGCACCACTGCTGACGGTTCCGCCTTTACATCTGCCTGGACAAAGCTTTATTCGTCCCATCTCATCTTGGTAAGTCTTTCCTCCATCTGCTCTGCTCTGCCACTTGCTTCCTGTGATCTGTAGCAATGCATTCATCTGATAAATTATCCAAGACATCTGAGAACCAAATCCTCCCCAAGGACATGCTGGCTACTACCATCCAAGTCAACCGCATGCCATCTGCACGTGGTGACGCTGCATCACACTGGCCTCCAGCAATACCCTTCCAACCCCCTGAGGCTCACCTTCGCATAAAGAAAGGCCTCCTCCACGGGAGCTTTGCTGGCAAACATGGTCTCTATGAAAGCCTGCAAAAAGAAAGGCGTAAGAAAAGAAAAGTCAGCTATGCCGCTTACTCAAACATCCGAAACACTTCAAATAAAAAGCACTTTTGTTCCAATTTTGCCAACCTGAAGTTGTGACTCTGTAATAAGTTTTCTGAAGGGAAAAAATATTGCTTTGAAGACTATTTCACTAATGACAGACTTCATTCAGGGCAGCCAACCTTCCCACTCAGAACAGACATCGAATGCCAGGATAAGCAACATGCAAATTGCGTCCCTTCCAAAATTCATGTTGAAAGTCAATCCCCAGGGGCCAGCACTGGGGCACTGCAGGTAAAGCGCCACCTGCAGTGCCAGCATGCCATATGGATGCCAGTTCAAGACCCAGCTGCTCCACTTCTGATCCAGCTCTCTAGTATGGCCTGGGAAAGCAGTGAAAGATGGCCCAAGTCCCTGGATTCCAGCACCCATGTGGGAGACACAGAGGAAACTCCTGGCTCCTGGCTTCGGATCGGCCCAGCTCCAGCCCTTGTGGCCATTTGGGGAGTGAACCAGGGGATGGAAGACCTTCTCTGTCTCTCCCTCTCACTGTCTTATAACTCTACCTCTAATTTAGGTCACTGATCCATTTTAAGTTAATTTTGCATATGATGTCATGTAGGGGTACAACTTAATTCTTTTGCATATGGAAATCCAGTTGCCCTAGCACACTTGACTCATCCTTTTTTAAAATTTTAATTTTTCTTCATCTTTTTAATACCTGACTCATTCTTAATCACAAATATGGCTGAATTTTTTTTTTGGAAAAAAAAAAAGATTCTGATAAAGGAGATAAGAATGAAATGATGTCCCAAGCCATCCTTGGTTTGAAGTAGCACATTTCACAATCAATGGAATCTAAAAATGATAGAATCTGAACTTCATAAGGTAGCAAAATGGATTGGAAGGAAACTAAAAATTGAAGGCAGGGTTGCTAAATATTCAGTGGTGTGATTACTACCTTAGTGATGGCTAAACAGTAAGTTCAGGAGCTCCTGCAGGTGAACGTGGCTCTTTGGTCAACAGAGAGAGCTCCAACCAAGAGAACCTGGATCACCATAACTTTAGATGAGCCAGCCATCCAGCGAGATTTGTTACAACTAAAATAACTCAGGAGGCAAGATAATGATGGAGAGTAAGAAGCCATAGAGGTAGAGGATATTCAGTGAAGGAAATAAGCCATTTTCCTACATTATTACATACATATCAATGTCCTAATGAATTCTTATTAAAAATTAAGAATTTGTGATCAGGGTCCAGCATTGTGGTATAACTGGTTAAGCTGCCACCTGCAATGCTGGCAACCCTTTGGGGCACTGGTTCAAGACACAGCTGCTTTACTTCCAATCCAGCTTCCTGATAATGTGCCTGGGAAAGGAGTAGAAGATGGCCCAAGTCCTTGGGCCCCTTCGCCCATGTGGGAGACCTGGAAGAAGCTCCTAACTCCTGGCTTCAGTCTGGAACAGCCCCTGCCATTGTAGCCATTTGGGCAGTGAACCAGCAGATGGGAGATCTCTCAATCTTTGCCCTTCTCTCTCTGATTTTCAAATAAATACATATTTAAAAAAAAAGATTTTGAGATCAGGATCAGCACTTCTGGCTTTGAACAGAGCTGAGTAAGTGGGTACATTTGGGCTCACCCTAGTCACAGGGAAATCCCTAGCATACCAAAATGGAGTAAGGGAGGGGTCAACCACATATATTTCCAAGTCGGGCAATTATCCTGTCCCTCCCTTGGCAAACACTCAGCCCCTACTGAAGCTGCAGAAATGCTATGGATCCGCAGGCAGCACTGTACTGGTTGTAAGACAGAAACCAGCTCCCTCATGAGGTGCCCCTCTCCTAAGTTATAATCGACACTGTGATAAAAATACCACCAACATGGACTTGATATATGTCTTTGCTGCTGGATCTCAGGAGGATATATAAAAAGGCAGTTTAAAAAACATTCACACCAACTTCTGGGACAAAAAAATAATAGTAAATTTGAGATTTTTACAAAAGAAATGAAGTCCAGAAAAGGGGTATGAAAAAATGAAGTCAGGTCCTATCTTTTTTTTTTTTTTTTTTTTTTTTTTTGACAGGCAGAGTGGACAGTGAGAGAGAGACAGAGAGAAAGGTCTTCCTTTGCCGTTGGTTCACTCCCCAATGGCCGCCGAGGCCGGCGCACTGCAGCTGGTGCACCGCTGATCTGAAGCCAGGAGCCAGGTGCTTCTCCTGGTCTCCCATGCGGGTGCAGGGCCCAAGCACTTGGGCCATCCTCCACTGCACTCCCTGGCCACAGCAGAGAGCTGGACTGGAAGAGGAGTGACTGGGACAGATTTCAGCGCCCTGACCGGACTAGAACCCGGTGTGCCGGCGCCACAGGTGGAGGATTAGCCTATTGAGCTGCAGTGCCGGACCCAGGTCTTATCTTACAGCATGCACAAAAAATAACTCAAAGTAGATCAAAGGGGTGTGGTACTGTGGCTGCTTGTGATATCCCATTATCAGAGAGCTGGCTTAGTCCCAGCTACTGTACTTCTGATCCAGTCTCCTGCCAAATGCACCTAGGAAAGGAGTCAATTCAGGGCCAAGTGGTCCCTGCCAACCAGCGGGGAGACCTCTGATAGAAATTCCTGGTTCCTGGCTTTGGTCTGGCTTACACCTGGCTATTGCAGTCATTTGGGAAGTGAACCAGCAGATGGAAGATTTGTCTGTCTCTCTCTGTTGCTTAGACTTCCAAATTAATTAATTAATCAATCTTTAAAAAATGGATCAAAGACTCAGAAGTCAAAATCACAAAACTCTTAGAAGGAAACAGAGGAAAATCTTTGTGATACTGGATCTGATTTTGTGAATATGTGACCAAAAGCACAGGCTACAAAAAGATAAACTGGGAGCCAGCATTGTGACATAGCGGGTAAAGCCACTGGATGCAATACTGGCATCCCATATGGTCACTGATTCGAGTTCTAGCTGCTCCACTTCTGATCCAGCTCCCTGCTAATGCCCCTGAGAAAGCAGCAGAAGATTGTCTAAGTCCCTGGGCCCCTGCCAGCCAGGTGAGAGACCTAGAAAAAGCCCCTGGCTCCTGGCTTCAGCTTGGCCCAGCCCTGGTAGTTGTGGCCACTGGGAAGTGAAGCAGCAGATGGAAGGTCTGTCTCTCTGTCTTTCTTCTCTCCCTGTAACTCTGCCTATCAAATAAATAAATCTTTAACAAAAAGACAGATAAATTGGACTTCATAAAAAAATTTTTGCCTACCAAATGACAGTAACAGAGAGAAAAAAAGCCATCTGTCAATGAGAAAAAATTTGGAAATCATATATACATCTAACAAGGGATAGAAATATAGAATATATAAAGAATTTTAACAACTTGACAAAAAAAGGCAATTAAAAAATGGAGGTGGGTGTTCAGTGCAGGGATTAAGATGCCACATGAGATGCCTAGGTTTACGTTTCTGCTAACATGCACCCTGGGAGGCAGTAGATGATGATTCAAGTATCAAGTCCCTCCACCTGCATGGGACATCCAGACTCAGTTCTGGGCTCCTGGCTTTAGGCTGGCCCAGGCCTGGTTGTGAAATGCCAATCAAAGCCAAAATGGATATCATTTTATGCTCATTACAATGCTATAATTTAACAAACAGAAAAAGTGCTGTGTAGACGTGGTGAAACTGGAACCCTGTGTACTGCTGGGAATGTGAGATGCTGCAACCACTATGGAAAACTATGACAGCCCTCAAAAAATTAAACAAAACGTATCATTAGACCTAGCAATTCCACTTCTGGGTATATGCCCGAAAGAATTAAAAGAGACTAGAATAGATATTTGTATAATCATATTTCACAACAACCAAAAGATGCAAACAACCCAAATGTCCATCAAGGCATGAGTGGGTATTATGAGTCTGCTTCAGTAACCAATTTCTGTTTATTTTCCACTATTAGTGTAGTTATCATAAGGAAAAGAAACAGAATTAACGTTCTAAGGAGAAACAACTACAATTGATAGGTAAAAGATCAATTTTAAGAGAAGGCAGATTAATTCTGTCTTGCAAGGAATTGAGCGTGTCCCTAGATATGTTAATTAAACATACTGAAGTAGAAGCCAGATGCTGACCTGCTTGTGAAGCGATTACTGTATTGAGTCTATGACCTCAAGGTGCCTATTGAACCATAAAAGCTTATGATTTTTTTTTTTTTAATTTAGAGAAAAGTTTTTCGGTAGGAACTGTACCTGTGATGTCAGCTTCCCGGCAATCTGCATTCGCTCAATTTCTGCGGGAGATTTGATCAACCGGAGGCGATGCACCAGCTGCTGGACACCCCGAACCTTGTTCCTACTCCTGGCTTTGTCCTCAGTCAGACGCTGCATGTAGTCAGAGTGAAGCTGTGCGTGAGAAGGCTTCATCCAGTCATACCACAGCGTGCTGCTCTCCGCTGACGATGAGAAGCCAAAAAATACGTTTATAATAAAACTAACAGCAACACCAATACCAACTGTCATAATGACTTGAACAACAGTCAAAACTGTAAAACCTATAGTGTGGGTCTCTACAGGTTACTCCAAACTCTTTTAGGTCTGAAGTAGCTGATGGGCTTGATCATAGAACACTGCCAAAGCTGTTTTCTGAAAATGGCAAGACATTCTGGTTTTTCTGCCCCCAAATTTCAGTGTTTCTTATAAACATGATAGCAGAACTAAAGCTTTATTCAAGCTTTGATTTCACTTATTACCATTAAAGAACAATTACAGTTGTTCTCTACTTCACTATAAAGCGAGAGGCATAGTTGAATAATTGTACACAAAAAGAAAGAAAAAAGTACTCACATCATGACTTTATGGTTAAAGGGTCTCATTGCTTTACAAAATGATCTCAGTACTGGTGGAACAAGGTTCTTCTCTCATTTTAGAGCAATTAATTACTCACTGCTGCACAAACAGTGCAGTTGATAATATATGCTAATCCACACTTCCACACTTCTCCCTTCAGATCTGCTACTGACAAGTATTTGTGTTGTAAATACTCATGGTTCACCTTCAACATCGGAGACTAAAGCATTTGCTTGAGATGTATAATAAGGCTCATTATAAAAACTATTTGCCCTTAGCACTAGGTCTATATGTGCTGTTTTTCTTCTTCTTCTTTGTTTTTTAAAGATTTATTTATTTATTTGAAAGGCAGAGTTATAGAGTGAGAGAAGACACATCTTCCATCCTCTGGTGCACTCCCCAAATGGCTGCAATGGCCGAGGCTGGGCCAGGCATAAGCCAGGAGCCAGAGCTTCTTCCAGGTCTCCCATGGGGGTGAAGTGGCCCAAGGACTTGTGCCATCTTCCCGCTGCTTTCCCAGGTACATTAGCAGGGAGCTGGATGGGAAGTGGAGTAGCCAGGAATCGAACAGGCATCCATATGGGATGTCAGCACTGCAGACAGCAGCCCAATCCACTATACCACAGTGTTGGCCGCAGATTTTTTTCCTAATAGTATCTATGAACAGTATCCCTAACAATCTAAGCTTGAAGAACCGTGAAACAGTATCAGGGAGAAAATTCCGAAAACTCTGGATATGTATTAGTAGCACTACATCCTAAACACTTTAAACTAAAAAAACCATTTCACTCGTATGTAACGTAGGAAACATTTATCCAATTTGTAATAGATGGGAATTTGTTATACTTTTGAAAAAGTAAAACAACCTGTACTCTCTGTCCTCAGTGTATGAAACCAAAGTTTAATTTCTTTAATTTTTAAACTGTTAAATAACTATTATTTCACTAATTTTCTCGTTGTCTACTGCTTTTATCTGATAAGTTATTAATACTAAGGATGGTAGATGAGAAGTATTTTTGAGAAACACATTTTATGTGAGGGTTTAACTATATTGGGTTAATGACATTTAGACTGAAGATGACTGTCTAAATGTAATATAAGAAATCAAAAGCCACAAAGACAGTAATTCTGTGCCCTGCATTTATGTGGACCTTGAAGTTTTAAGAAAGTCTGATGACTTGAACCAGATAATTATTTTGGTAAAATAGAAAATATTCTCATGAAGTAATAAAAATAATTTCACCAAACATACCTGAATGGATATATTTAAATGAGTATATCTTTTGCAAAGAAATCTTTTTAGGAAACAACTCTAATACATTCCATGATTGTCAGGAGCATTTTGCAATTCTCTTTTGGAAACTGACTTCAGAAATGCTTCATAAGCCATGTAAGAAAAGCAAATTAAGACTTTATAATCAGGTATTATTTTGGTCTTAAAGGAGTATCTTCCAACTTGATCATCTCTTACTAAATTTGGTTATAAGTAACTTCTGAACACTTTGAAAAACAAAATGCTTCCCTGAGCAGAAGATTTATTAGAACTACTAAGGACAGTTTATGATGTGGCGTAGATTCTGAACAAAGCTCCAGAAAAGGAATCCTAAAACATTCTGAGTGACCAAAATTCACCAAAATAAAAACAGGAAAAGTAATGATCCTGAAGGGACAAGAATTCAACTGTATCAATGTCCCCTTGGAATCCTGTTAAAATACAGACTATGGTTCAGTAGGTATGAGATTTTACATTTCCAGTACCTATTTTGATTTACAACTCTAACATGTATCACTGGAATCACTGGTGATTCTGAGGGACACATGGACCATTTTCTGAGAATAGCGCCTCCTTTTGATAAGCTGGCAAAAGCAATCGAAAGGTCGAAGGTCGACAGGTTAGAAACTTAAGAGTGGCCTATTTTATCCTTCCCTTTACAAGGAAATTCTGGGATTTCACACTCGGACAGTTAGCAGTCACTTATTAATTCAGTGAAGATCTGGCAAACGTGGGAATAATCTTTAAAGCAGCTGGGTCTCGTGGAGACTTTCATGTCCTTCGTGACGCTCCGAGAAATGCTGCTACGATCCCTTCAGGAAATCAAGACTGCGTCTACCAGGGAGGGAGGCTGTTAGTCTGCTGTGTGACTGCCTTCGCTCCCACTTGTTACCTTTCAGTCTGGGCACGAGATGCTGAAATTCTTCTAGCGTATAGGCTTCATCCACTCCGGTCAGAGCTACTGCTCCATCAGGGCCGGATCGCGGACCATCCCAAAGTTCTCGACTGGGGTCTCTCCGAGGCACGAAAAGCACAGCTTTGTGTGATGGTAACTGCTTGCCAGGGAGGCTCTGAAGGACCAGAATGCTGTCAGGCTCTTGGAATCCGCACAAGTACAGGAAGTTGTTGTCTTGGTGGAAGGTATAGGGGATGTCGTTGCTCATGTAGTATGTGGGGCTGGAGAGCACGACCACCGTCTGGTCTGTCCCACTCTGCCCTTGGACCTCCTTGTGGATCAGAGACATCAGCTTGTGCCTGCGGAGTGCATATTCTACCTGAGATAGTCCTGGCGTCACCTCCCCTAGAAATAACAAACAAAAGTTACGCTTTGCGCTTCTACAATGCCAAAGTCCTTAAGGAAGCTTAATAGTAGATGGAGACAACCATCTCTTCAGTTTATGCCAGATTTCCTCATAGCACAGGGAGAATTAAGGAGATAATTGAAGTTTCAAATTTCTGTTCACTGCAAAAAATTGGGAAAAAATGATAGGTAAAACATGGTCCTTTGTGAAAACAGGGATCATGAACCCTTAATATCTCTTCTAGTTCTTTGGTTCGTTCTTTCAGTCATTCAAATACTTGTTGAACACTATTATGTGTAAGGCATCATTAGGCACATAAAGTTTTTTTAACAAGTAGTTTTTATTTTTTTAGAATTGTTTTTATTTGACAGGCAGAGTTAGACAGTGAGAGAGACAGAGAGAAAGGTCTCCCCTCTGTTGATTCACCCCCCAAATGGCTGCTACGGCCAGCGCTCTGCGCCGATCAGAAGCCAGGAGCCAGGTGCTTCTCCTGGTCTCCCATGCGGGTGCAGGGGCCCAAGCACCTGGGCCATCCTCCACTGCCCTCCCGGACCACAGCAGAGAGCTGGACTGGAAGAGGAGCAACCGGGACTAGAGCCCGGGCACCCAAATGGGATGCTGGCGCTGCAGGCAGAGGATTAACCAAGTGAGCCATGGTGCCAGCCCCCTAATCAAAGTTATCTTCAAAGTTCAAAAATAGTAGAAAGGTTCCAATATCTGTGTATGACTTTCTTAAAAGAACATAGGCCCAGGGCCAGCACTGTGGCATACTAGGTTAAGATTCTGCCTGCAGTGCTGGCATCCCATATGGGAGCTGGTTCAAGTCCTGATTGCTCCACTTCCAACCTAGCTCCCTGCTAATGCACCTGGGAAAGCAGTGCAAAATGGCCTAATTACTTGGGGCCCTGCCCTGCTCCCACATGGGAGCTCCTGGCTCCTGTTTCGGCCTGCCCCAGTCCCAATTAACTGGGGAGTGAACCAAATGATGGAAGATCTCTCTCTCTCATTCTTTCTGTATGTAAAGAAAATAAATTGTTTAAAAGAACCAGAAAAGCACAGGCTCTGTGAGGACATAAATTTAAATTTTTTATTTGAACATTTTCTTCATTTATTTTCATTTTATTTGAAAGGCAGAGAAACAGAGAGATAGAGAGATCCTGGAGCTGGCCAGTGCCTGCATCCCATGTGGGCATTGGTTTGAGTCCTGGCTGCTGCACTTCCTATCCAACTCTCTGCTATGGCCTGGGAAAGCAATAGAGGATGGCCCAAGTCCTTGGGTCCCTGCACCCGTGTGGGAGACCTCGAAGAAGTTCCTGGCTGCTGGCTTCAGATTGGCCTAGCTCCGGCTGTTGTGACCATTTGGGGAGTGAACCAGCGGATGGAGACCTCTCTCTCTGCCTCTCTGTAACTCTTTCAGGTAAATAAATAAATCTTTAAAAAAGAAAGAGAGAGAGAGAGAGAGGGAACAAGTAAGCACTTCTATTTTCTGGTTCAGTTCCCAAATGCCTGCAATAGCTGCAACTGCCAGACCAAAGCAAGACCAGAACTCAATCCAGGTCTCTCATGTGGGCGGCAAGGACCAAGTACTTGAGCCAACATCACTGCCTCACAGGGTGCATTAGCAGGAAGCTGGAATGGGAAGCGGGCCGGGACTTGAACCAGGTACTCCTGTATGGGATATAGGTGTCCCGAAGGGTGTCTTAACTGCTGTGCTAAATGCCCACTCTAAAGACACAGATTTTTTTTCCCTGTTTAATATTATATTCCCCGGGGCTTATAAAAATAACTTGAAAATAGTGGGCATCTGATGAGTATTTGTTAAATGACTATAGTGTTAAACAGAATAGAGTTTAAGGACAATTTCCCAATTTGAGACCTGGAATAATTTCCCCTTCTGAATTCCCAAGACACAGTAAGACTTTTCTAATAAGACTTTTCACTCTCCACCTTGAATCTGCATTGAGCTGGATATATGTGTAAGTTTCTGGAGGGCTATCTTTGTATTCTCCAAAAGCCCTAAATAATACTGTCTACTTCTTGAGGTTGTTATGAGAATAAAACCTGATAAAGCATGTGGTTCCTAAGGATTGAAGGCTCCCTAATAATCATTTTAAGCTATGGATTCATTCTGTTCACTGAACTGCTTATAGGCACGTATAAACGTTCGACAGAAAATTTCAAGAGCCTTAGATTTCCTTAAAATCACCCCAAAAACCCAGATTAAGAACCTCTGTTATGAAGTATTAGCTCTTTTTTATTATTTATTTATTTGAAAGGCAGAATGACAGAGAATCTTCTACCTGCTGTTTTTTTTTTTTTTTTTTTTTTTTTTTGAGAGAGAGTTTACGGAGGGAGGGGGAGAGGGAGGGAGGGAGGGAGGGAGAGAGAGAGAGAGAGATCGAGAGAGAGACAGATATCAAGAAGAGAGCTTCCATCCCCAGATGACTGCAATGGCTGGGGCTGGGTCAGGCCCAGGCCAGGAGCTTCTTCCAGATCTCCCACATGGGTGCAGGGCCCCAAGCACTTGAGCCACCTTCTACTGCCATCAGCAGGAATCTGGATCAGAAGTAGAACAGCCGGACAGGAACCAGTGCCCATATGCAGGGGTTTTACTTGCTATGCCACAGTGCTGGCCCCATAATTTCCACTTCCTAAAGGAAGCGTTCACCCAGTTAGCACTGTGCTAGCTGCCAGGCAGTCTCCTAGGTGCTGATGTTAAGAATGAGTGCTTGGTGACTGGTGTTGTGGCACAGCAGGTTAAGCCACCATCTGCAAAGCTGGCATCCAATATTAGCATCCATTTGAGTTCTGGCTGCTCCACTTCTGATCTAGTTCCCTGCTCATGCACTCATATAATCACGTTTCCTTTTTTCTAATCACCAGTGCTTTACAAAAATGAAATACTAGGTCAGCGTAGCGGCTCACTAGGCTAATCCTCTGCCTGTGGCGCTGGCACACCAGGTTCTAGTCCCGGTTGGGGCGCCGGGTTCTGTCCTGGTTGCCCCTCTTCCAGGCCAGCTCTCTGCTGTGGCCCGGGAGTGCAGTGGAGGATGGCCTAAGTCCTTGGGCCCTGCACCCACATGGGAGACCAGGAGAAGCACCTGGCTCCTGCCATCGGATCAGTATTTCAAACATGAAATACTATACATCCTTCTGTATCTTGCTCTTCTAACATAATGATACCAATGGACCATCCAAGTCTTCTGGTGTCTGTAATGTTTCTTGGGGTAGATGTACTATAACTTACTGAGAAATTTTGTTGTTTTCCCATGTAAAGTTTATCTTTCCAGTAAATTCTTTTTTTTTTTTTTTTTTTTTTGACAGGCAGAGTGGACAGTGAAAGAGAGAGACAGAGAGAAAGGTCTTCCTTTTTGCCGTTGGTTCACCCTCCAATGGCTGCTGCAGCCGGCGCACCATGCTGATCCAATGGCAGGAGCCAGGTGCTTCTCCTGGTCTCCCATGCAGGTGCAGGGCCCAAGGACTTGGGCCATCCTCCACTGTACTCCCGGGCCACAGCAGAGAGCTGGCCTGGAAGAGGGGCAACCGGGACAGAACCTGGCATCCTGACCGGGACTAGAACCCGGTGTGCTGGCGCCGCAAGGCGGAGGATTAGCCTAGTGAGCCACGGCGCTGGCTCCAGTAAATTCTGAAGTGTGCATTCCCTTAAGAAAACGATAATTTTTACTTAACTTTTTGGATATCTACAGCAGAGGAAAATGTATACTTTTATTGATGAAATTGGCAAGAATAAAAGAAAGCGGTAATGGAGGGCCTAACAGGCCTCTTCGATTCTGGCAAAGCAGTGGAGAAGGGCTGAGAAGAGCTCCAATCACACTTTTCTTCCAAGACTGAGCTGGCTAAGGGCCGCTGCAGGACTCTTGAGCGAAACACTGAACTCTGTACCAGAGCTAAAGAACAGCTTAACTCACAGGTCATTGCTCACGCTGAGTCTGCCACCGTCACCCAGCACTGGAAACTTCCTGACCACGAAAGCAGTGAAAACTCTTTTATAAAAGCAGGGGCTGATTGTAATTGGTCGATTATCTGATCTTTCTTTTTTACTTCTTTTTTACTTTTTCTTCTTATTTTCCCCCTTTACTGAGCTTTGCTTTTTGTTACAGAAATGAAAAGAAATAAGAAATTATTTTGTGATATGAAAATTCATAATTTTAATAACCTTTAATATTAGCTCTCATTTTCACCAATAACAAAGTATACATTAACATATGTCAGGAAATAATTTCTGAAAAAAAAAAGACAATTATTTGAAAATTAAAGCGGGATTGGAAAGCCTTCAAACATTCCTTTTTTTGCTGAAGCCAATGTCATCCAAATGACTATATGAGAAATTTTGAAAATACTGGTTGTGTCTTCCTAAGTCTAGCAGTAATTACCAACCCTGTGGAGTGATCATTAACCAAATGCTTCCAAACCTCTGAAATCACTAAGTAATAAAGAACTCTCTATCACAACACAAACACTGACGGGGGGTGGGGGACCCCTTCTTTTCACCTGGGGGAGGGAAGACAAGGCATGATAAAGCAATGAACTCTGAACCCTAGCAGCAAACCTGGCAGTTGTTACGGCCTTTGACCACAGACCTAATCACTATAGTCAATCTGGCCTGAATTTCTTCTGATAAAACTCCATCTGAACAGACTTTCTGGCAACTCTGTCAGGTTGTAAAGTATTAAGAAAGCAAGCCAGTATTCTATCCTGTGGAACCAGTTAAGGATGGCGGGCTGTGTTGACAAGCCTAGTTAACCAATCAGAACGCTAGCTGTCCTAAGACAGGCTCTGCACACAGCAGTCTCACACGCACAGACTTCCGAGAATCTGCAGCCCAGAAGAGCTCTCCCAGGACACTACAGACCGGGCGTCCTCAGAGAACCAGAAGAATGCTTTCCGTTTTTATCAGGCAAGCAGAAAACCCAGAGACAAAAGTGCCAAAGACTGGAAATGGAAGGGGAGGTACAGATTTTGCTACAATTTAGGTACG